ACCAGGCTCAGTGGGGGTCTAGTTCTCCTCTGACCAGACCAAACCAGCATGATGTGGTTTAATTCCAGGCTGCAGCACGGGTCAGATTGTGCAGAGGACTCGTCTGGTTCCTGTGGTCTTGTGCTGATTAGCCTCATTTGGTCCAGGCCCTGATTGGCTAAGGAGGATTCCTTGCTCAAAAAAAAAAGTTGTTGGTGATATGCAAACCAAAAATAAAAGCTAAAAATGGATAATATAAAGCGCAAAGGTGGCGCTGAAAAGGCTAGAATAAAAAAAGAGAAAGCTCTCGAAACTGACGTGACCAAATGTACTAAGCTGAGTAGATTTTTCCATAAAACCAGCGAGAGTACAAATGAAGACGATGAGACGGTAAGCTAACGTTAAGCTAGTGCAAAACAACGTTGTCTGCAAACCACCGTTCATGTTTATGTATCAAACTTTTCTTGCAGCTCTTCAGCAGCAGCCTCTGGTTCAGTTTGCTGCTAACAGTGAAGAGCCAGGCTCAGTAACGTTACCAAGCACCAGCCATGAGCCCAACACCAGAATGGGCAGGTAGGATTGTCACTGAGTGAATATAAGAATTAGAAGAATTAATATTAATGAAGAGCATGGTGTACACCTGCTCAATGAAAAATTCCACGAGATAATTAATGATACCAGATGATTCAGCAGCACTACATTAATGAAACTGACTTGACTCGATCAGAGAGCTTTGTAAAAAGGGAGATTTGTTTTGTGATGAGAAATATGGCAATTTTTAAAATTTCATTTAGTGTCAGAAGCAGAGCCAGGACCCAGTTGTATGATGCAAGAGACTGATGCTCTGACTGTAGAAGACACAGGTAAGCTGTTGCACCACAGCGTGTGAATAAGCAAACATGATCACATTAGTTACAATATAACAACTTTCTATGCCCAAGTGTTACTAGTGAGCCATTATGTTTTTAATCAAAAGATCGTGAATATACAAAGCCCACGATTGAAAGAGAATAGGATAAGAGTCAGATGAAATAAGCCTGCATATTTTGCCAGTTGGACATTTTAATTTGCTTTGATTTAATTGAATTTGAACGTGCTTTCCATGTCAAATATGCTAAAGCTTACAGAATGCTTTTTATAGTGATTAAATGCAGGTGCACTGAAGTCTAGGGATCCAGAAGGAAGTGTGAAAGTGAGAGCAGTCTACTCAAGACAGATAAACGAACCCAGAACCCAGAACCACTAGCTAGGAACAAGCTAGATGAAGAGGATTCTGTTCATAGTCTTGATTACTTTGCTCGACCTCAGTCACGGGATATACATACTTTTTTTTTCTTATCAAACCCCAAATGTTCCTATACCAAAGGTTTTCAATAGCAAAGATGGAACTAGTCATTAGTCAACTGATAAAGGTGACTACAGCAGAAGAATTGAGACAAGCTAGCATGTTTTCAGTCCAAATGACCTCAATGCAAGATATCAGCTCCAAAGACCAGTGTTCAATCATACTTAGATATGTACCAGATGTCATTCAAGAAAGACTGATTGCCGTGGTGGACTGTGAGTCATCTACTGGCCAGACTTTTGTAGAGCTTCTGAAAAAAGTGCTACTGGACCTTAATATTGACATTGGAGCATGTGTGGGCAACTCAACAGATGGTGCCGCTAATATGCAGGGACAGTTTACGGGTTTTCTACACTCCTCATGACTTTATGACTTGTGCTTATGACTTTAGACACCATTGTAGATGACAGTACACAATAGCCAACTGTGAGGGCCAAGGCAAAGGGATTCATAGAAGGCCTTCTGAAGTATGAGACAGTGCTCGCTGCTCAACTCTTCCTTCGCTTTGTTGAGCTTTCAGAATACTTACAGACTAGGGGAATGGCTATCATCACAGCTCAACGCAGCTCAACGCGTCAAAGCAGCTTTACAAAAAAGGGAAATAGTGTTTAGTAGGCTTGATAATACACTCTAAAAAATAATTCAGTGGATCTGTTGCCACTACTTAATTTAATGCATTAGTGCAAGTTAAAAATTCAAATTTATTGATTTAATTAAACATTTTAAGTTTTAAATTTTTTTTAATGAGTTGTCCTGACATCTTAATGTTGATAATAACATCAACGTAAAACTATGTGTAACTTCCACTTAAATATATGTGTTAGTTTGTTTAAAACATAATTTAAGTTGTACTAACTCGATGTAATTAGCTCCATAACTTCATTTTTTCAAGTTCACGTTTCAGGTTCCCAGCATGCTTTGCATGTGACTGAATAATGAGCGGTAATGTAGAAATAAACTCATATTTTATGCATTTCTATTTAAGATCAGAACAGGAGAAGATTTATTAATGTTCAGTGTTCAGTTCTTTTAGTGTTTAAATGTGTTTCTGTTATGAGTAGAGTAGAGCGTTTGCTTGTGTTGAGAACAGACTCGCTGGACATCGTCCTACATGCTGTTTCAATCAGGAGGACTTGGTTGTTTCATCAAAAAATTATCTTTTAGTAGATTTTGTAACCAGTGTCCATAATTGAATCAAATTTAAAACAATGTGAAAGAACGACTTAATTTTTTATAAGTATTCAACTTAATAATTGTTAGTTTTAACACAGTTTTCTAAGTATATATAGCACAATATAGTTTACTAGTTGAACTTAATTTCAGAAGAAGTTGCCTTAACTCAAAAAAAATGATGCAAACTGTTGCTTAAATTTTTTTTGTTGCGTCCAAACAATATTTTCTAGAGTGTAGTGTACGTGATTGCACTATTTAAAGACACCATAAACAGTTATGTATACAGCGGGTAAAATAAGTATGGAACACGTCACCATTTTTCTCAGTAAATATATTTCTAAAGGTGCTGTTGACATGAAATTTTGCAACCCAAATAATCCATACATACAAAGACAACAAAAACAGATAAGTTTAGAAATGAAGTTCTGTGTAATAAAATGGAATAACACAGGGGAAAAGTACTGAACACATGAAGAAAGGGAGGTGAAAAAGGCATGCAAAGCCAAGACACCAGCAGAAATCTATCAGTAATTAGAAAGCAATCCTGCCCTCGTCAGTGGAAATTAATATCAGCTGGTTCTCAACACCTACAGTACCAGGATGATGGAGCGAGACAATGATCCCAAACACGGCCGAGGAAACTCTCGATTGGTTTCAGAGAAATAAAATAAAGCTGCTAGAATGACCAGCCAATCACATGACTTGAATCCAATAGAAAATAAGAACTAAAGGTCAGAGTTCATAGAGAGGCCCACAGAAGCTGCAAGATTTGGAGACTGTGGAAGAATGGGCCAAACTCACACCTGAGCAATGCATGCCACTAGTTTCCCAGACAGCGGTCATTACCAACAAAATATTAAATATCTTATCTGTTTTTGTTGTCTTTGTACGTATGGATTATTTGGGTTGTTACCGACATCTGGGGAAAATTTCAACTCAACAGCACTTTTAGAAATATATTTACTGAGAAAAATAGTGATGTGTTCCATACTTATTTTACCCACTGTATTTTAAAGTGAAAGATGGATTCAATTGTACTACAAGTGGTAACTAAATACTTTTGCACAAAAATAGAGCACTTTAAGTACATTATGGAAGTGTATAAGTGTACTGAAATCAAGTGTGTTTTCCTGCACTTTTGTCCAGCCGGGGTCCGGAGGCCTTTCTGTGTGTGTTTCCTTCAGCTGCTCAATCCTCATCCAAACACACACACTAACTACAGCTGGCATTGTGTCGTCTGTAATCAATACAGTTTGTACGTAATCTAGCTCTGGTGTTGGACTGGACATCTAGTGACGCTGGGACAGAATCAAACCTTCCCACCATCCTGAACAACACAGTCTGGACGATGGATAGATGGATGTTTCTGGATTAATTAATAAACAGTTCTACTCCGCCATCATTGAGTCTGGTTTGGTTCAGCTACCAAATCAGACATCAGAAGACTACAGAGAGGGATTACTGGTGCCCTCCTGCCCAGCCTGCTAGAACCGTATGCATCCAGAGGAAAAGAGCTCAGAAAATCCCTCACATCCAAGCTATCCCCTTACTGAACCTTTGCCGTCGCAAATACCAGGACAGCCAGGCACAAGAACAGTATAACGTGACATGAATAGACATAAAAAATAAATAAATCACCAAACAGGACATTTCCATAAACTGGTTTTCCCATTAAACACAATGTTATCTATACACTGTACCTAATTTGCATATCAATGCTGTTGGGACAGCATGTTGAAAAAAAGAAGTGTAATAATGGGAGCAATAATTGGCCAGATTGTCATAATAATATCTAATATTTCATAAGAATATTGATAGATAATTTATTTTCTCTATTCTTTAGTTGTGTCTCCCAAAACACATAATAAACATGCTTTTAGTGTCCTCTACAGTGGACATGCATGAGATCAGTATCTGTTTCATAACTGGAAGTCATACAAACAATTTTTATGACAAACAACTAGAAAATGAATCAGATTTAAATGATAATTACAAAATATGATCATATTTCCATAAGCATGTAGAGTTTTATCCCTAGATTAACGTCAGCCATTTTTAAAGACCAAGCAGAGTTCCTGGTGAACCTTCCACATGTCTGGTATCTCTGACAGCCCTGCATGCTCTGCACAGGACATCCAGACTAACCCACACCCGGGTCTCAGGAGGACACGGCTTCTCTGAAGATGACCGGCGGATTTGACGCGCTACGGCGGAGGAGTCGCTCATGAATATTAAGCGCGTAACGGCACGTTCATCCTGTAGTCCTTACCGATTGGTTGACAGGCAAGATATTTGTTATCGAGCGCACGTCAGCTGACCAATCAGCGCGAAGGCTTGGCTTATGAATATCAATTAGATATCGTGACCGTACGCTCTAGTAGACCTTCTACGCAACCGCAGCCCGACTCATTAATATTCATGAGTGACCTGTATTCTCCGCGGTGTGATTGGTGCAGCGCCGCGGGACCTCGGCGGAGCTCCGTCTCTGATTGGTCGCGTCCTGCGCCGATTGCTCGACAGCGTCGCATCGTAATCAGTGCGGCTGCGTTGCGGGGCGATTAATGTGTCATTGAAGAGCAAGACTATAGGATGATATAGCGTGACATACAGATGTGTCCAATCCGACAATAACACGACTCTCTTTGTTTATTTTCCAGCATCAGTTCGGGATTATAGGTGTTGCGGCGCAGGTGAGGATGAATAATGTCAGGTCATATGGAGGCGATGGGCCGCGGCGATCGTGGCGCATCAGATCATTTACAGCCCTTACAAATACAGCTGCATGCTTATATCATCCATACGAGTACAGTTATAGATGCCGTATTAAGGCATCTGCAGCCTTTGCGTAATTCTCCGTATAAATGCATCTGCATCTCGTATGTCATCCGTGTGAATAGATACATGCAGGCCTACAGCTCTTAGGATGCATGTTTAAGAAACATTAATGTGTAGTAACATAATGCCGATGAAACGAGTGATGCTGAGGAGCTGCTGTTGCTCTGTCAGTCAGTGTTTGCGGATGTTAAAGCAATTGCGCAATGTGTGTGTGTGTGTGTGTGTGTGTGTGTGCAGCTGATGCGCGTCTAGATGCGCCCTCCTCCTCCTCTCTATCTCTAGTCCAGACACTGCCGCATCTCCTCCATCTCCTCCATCATGGGGAACCGGGGCATGGAGGATCTCATCCCGCTGGTCAACCGGCTGCAGGACGCCTTCAGCTCCATCGGCCAGAGCTGTAACCTGGACCTGCCGCAGATCGCGGTGGTGGGCGGCCAGAGCGCCGGGAAGAGCTCGGTGCTGGAGAACTTCGTGGGGAGGTGAGTGAAGGACATTACATGCTGGGACCACACAACCAGCCATAAGGGTCAATTTTGTGAAATTGAGATGTATGCATCATCTGAAAGCTGAATAAATAAGCTTTCCATTGATGTATGGTTTGTTAGGATAGCACGATATTTGGCTGAGCTACAACTATTTGAAAATCTGGAATCTGAGGGTGCAAAAAAATCTAAATATTGAGAAAATCATCTTTAAAGTTGTTCAAATGAAGTTCTTAGCAATGCATATTACTAATCAAACATTAAGTTTTGATATATTTACGGTAGGAGATTTACTAAATATCTTCATGGAACATGATCTTTACTTAATATCTTAATGATTTTTGGCATAAAAGAAAAATTTATAATTGTGACCCATACAATGTATTGTTGGCTATTGCTACAAATACAGGTACATCTAAAAAAATTCAAATAATTTAATAAAGTAAATGCTGTCACAGCTTTCGGAGGCGGATGCTGCTGTTTGGGAACGTAGTGGTGTAAGACAATTATACAGAAATACTTTGATGACAGACTTTGCTCAGGCTTTTCAGAACAATATATAGATGCTGTGAACGAGATCGGTCCGCTGCTATTCAGGTTATCCCGTCTCAGCACAAATCACATGACTTTTTTTTAATGCGCATGGTGGAATTTATTCGGTAAATAAGTTTCCATCGTAGTTTATGCACATTTTTTCTTATTGGATAAAAAGTTGATCCTACTCGAATGTGCGCATACGTTTTTATGTGCATTTTTAGAATTTGTGCGCATCTTGGCGTTTCCATCCAGAGTTTTTTTAATGTGATGCTTCAAAATGTGCATAACAATATGTGGATGGAAACATAGCTAGTATATGTTCATGATGCTTGGAAAGCAGTAGCAGTAGATTTAGACACGGTTTTGTTAATCAGGCGAGCGGGAACAGCTGTGATGTGGTCTGATTGACTGGCGTTTCACTGTAAAGACACGTATGCACTGCAGTGAGGAATGGTGTTTCTGTGCTGTGGTGTTGATTTGAGTATTTTCTAGGGATTTTCTGCCCCGTGGATCCGGCATCGTCACTCGCAGACCCCTGGTTCTGCAGCTCATCAGTGCAAACGCAGGTGAATCTCAGATTGTACATTGAGTTAGCTTACCCAGTGCAATTAACATTCAAGAAAAATCAGTATCTGAAATTCTGCTAATTCAATCTGGGAGTTCCTTAACTCATTACTTCAAATGTTGTACATTTTGCTTATGATCAGTCAGTCTGTCTAACATTGAATCTGCAGAGTGGGCCGAGTTCCTGCACTGCAAAGGGAAGAAGTTCACTGATTTCGATGAGGTCCGTCAGGAGATCGAGGCTGAGACCGACCGCGTCACCGGGGCCAATAAGGGCATTTCCCCCATTCCCATCAACCTGCGGGTTTATTCCCCACACGGTACTGGAAAACACATCGCATCACAAACCCTGCCATGTTTTAAACTAAATCTCACTGCTCCTGGTGGGGCCTGTTAGACGGTTTCTTCAAAAGCCTTTTGGATGCTAGATCGTGAATGTACATGTAGTCCTGGACCAACCCCCTGGCCACGGGTCTGAAATTAACATGGGCTTGCACAGCTAAACTAAATCTATTACGCTATCGTGAAGAAAAAGAAAATTAAATGGAAGATGAGGATTGCGGTGTTAAATTTAGATCTGTTCATTCGGCATCATATTTCTTTTTACGCGTTTACAGCATTGCGCATTATAACCAATCACACACGAGCTGGTGAAGGCAATGGCCAATCAGAGGCGTTCAGATGAGTTTTGTTGATCAGTGCGCGGGAATTCTGTCTTCAAACAGCGGAGTGCAGATGTACAAACAGTGCAAGAGATCCGCTCATTATACATCGTAGACAGCTTCTCTGATTATAACGGGAGTGTTTTTAGTGCTTAAACTCATGCTAGACATAATAATAAAAATAATGATGTGATGTTCTTCGATAATGTAAATGTTCTTTGCTCTCTTTCTGTATATAATTGATTCACTGTGTGAATAACTAGAAATAAAAGCATTATAATTAGTAACCGAAAGAGTTATATTTTTTTACTGTGATCACGTCTAATACAAATTCAGTCGTATTAAAATGGTCTTACCCATATCTGGTACATGTCTAAACAGACGGGTTTATGGTGTGCGTGTAATAGATTACACAATCATTAGGCTGCTTTTAGCCTAACCCTGGAGTTGGTTCACGCTCTGCCTGTGATCTTTATTCTCTTTTCTGTGCTCTTGACTCTGTGCAGTGCTGAATCTGACCCTCATCGACCTGCCGGGCATCACTAAAGTGCCGGTGGGAGATCAGCCGGCTGACATCGAGCATCAGATCCGAGACATGATCATGCAGTTCATCTGCCGCGAGAGCTGCCTGATCCTGGCTGTCACTCCGGCTAACACTGACCTGGCCAACTCTGACGCGCTCAAACTGGCCAAAGACGTCGACCCTCAGGGTGAGTGACCTCCTGACCTTCCTCCTGACCTCCAAGAGCCTCAGAGCAGAGCTGGTGCTGCACACTAGTCCTGCTCTAAATCCTTTACAAAATGACACAGCAGTTCCTCATGAGAATAAGATGAAGGTTTATTGCGTGGCTTTTGGAGCCGTGGTAAGACACGATGCAGGTTGTTCATATGACCGGCAGGTTCTCCCAGTGGTGTTTTGTGTATGCTGAAGAGCACTTGTGTTACAGGCCAGAGGACCATCGGTGTGATCACTAAACTCGACCTGATGGATGAAGGAACAGACGCACGAGACGTTCTGGAGAACAAGCTCCTGCCTCTGCGCCGCGGTGAGAAACCTTCGCTCCTGTCAATGCCTTTCAGACGCTTTCCAGTTAGACTTTGTAGCTCATTTAATTAGGGATGTCACGTAATCATTTTTTAAAATTGCATGATGTGCTGATTGATTAGTTACAAATGAATCCCACATCAATGAGAAATTTCCCCCCAAACGATAATTTAATGTCATTATTGTGCAGAATGAGAAAAGCGTTTAATAGACTTCAGGAAAGAATAGCTTTATAAAGAAATATTTCAGTTCAGCATTGCAGAGAGAATGAAAATAAATGGGTATTTTTTTAACGAATATTGAAATCTGAAATGATTTTAAAGAAGTGAAATGATATTTTGAATATCAGACTAAAAGTGCCAGAAGGTGGTGGCCAGTCGATGTCTGAATGAGTGAGTCACTGAATCGTTCACTCAACTGATTCGTTCAAGTGCCTGACTCGTTCGGTAACGAATCACTGCTGTGTGTTGATCAGAGACGCTCAACAGTTCTGCAGTTCTGACTTTGATTGGAACTATTTTCATTTGAGATACTGAGCAAAAACAGACAAGATTGTGTCTAAAATGTAACACAATATGAACTTCTTGTTTATTGAGCTGTTGTATAAATCAGTATTCACATTTGAAGTGGTGTGGATATTGGGGGAGAGCAGCACTCTTGCTCATGTGATATTGCTAAACTGCATCATATGATATAAATATAAGAGGGTGGTTATTTTTGCCCTCATATCATGAATGTTAGGCTCATATAACAGCATTCTGATAGACCCGGGTCTGAACGGGGCACCACGTGTTTGAATCATTTGAATGCGTTATTTTTTGCTATAATAAATCTCACCAAATTAATGCATTAAATTGACAGCCCTAGTTTTAATATCCCAAAATACTGAAGGACGGAAACTGCCTGCGGACATCTGATTCACCGTCCAGTTTAGTCAGGTCCAGATCAGTGTCGGGTCAGTTACTCTAAAGGAGTAATTAATTACTAGTTACTAATTACATCTTCAACAGTGTAATTAGATTACTGTACAAATCAGTCTCTTCAAAAAGTATTTAATTACTAATTACTTTCTAAATCCTATCATCAACCTCGACAAGTTAATGATGCAAAGATAGACATGAAACGGTTCTTTTAATTATTTTAAGTAACTACATCAATTATTCTGGACACACTTTAGATTAGAGTCCACTTCTCATTATTAACTAACTATTAGCTATGACTTTTGCCTCAATATACTTCTAATTACTGCTTATTAATACTTAGTAAAGCAGTTGTTAAGTTTATGTTTTGGGTAGGATTAAGGATTTAGAATAAGGTCGTGCAGAATAAGACATTAATATGTGTTTTTTAAGTAATAATAAACAGCCAATATACCAGTAATATTCATGCTAAGTTAATAGTGAGAATTGGACTCTAAAGTGTTACCAATATTCTTATTAACTCACCAAAGTATTTAAAATGAGAAGGGTACATAAAAGCATGCATTTTAAGGTTAGACTTTACATTTTGATGTTAAATCCACTGTTGTATTGTGTATAAATGTTCTACAGTCTATATACAGTATTAAGTTCAATTACATAAGAAGTAACTGTAATTAAATGACAGAAAAAATAAGAGTAATCCCTTACTTTACTTTTTCAAGGGATACAGTAACTAATTACCCCGTGAGGTTTTAGAGTTATTGTGTTCAAGCACTCCTCGGTCGATGGATATCTGCTGAGCATCTCTAGAGCCGTGCGGTTGAGCTTTATGTCTGCAGGCCCAGTGAAGCACACCGGGTCACGGGAAAACCCCTTTCAGTGTCCGCAGTGAGTGTTTGATCACACAGGGTACATCGGCGTGGTGAACCGCAGTCAGAAAGACATCGACGGGAAGAAGGACATCAGAGCGGCTCTGGCGGCAGAGAGGAAGTTCTTTCTGTCTCATCCGGCCTACAGACACATAGCAGACAGCATGGGCACCCCACACCTGCAGAAGGTCCTCAATCAGGTACTGTGCCCAGTCAGATCCTCACTGGAGATGCTCCTGACCGCATGTGCATTTAACGGAGCGGCTGCGTCTGTGTTTCTACAGCAACTGACCAACCACATCCGGGACACGCTGCCTGCCTTCCGCAGTAAACTGCAGTCGCAGCTGCTGTCTCTGGACCGAGAGGCGGAGGAGTACCGGCAGTACCGGCCCGACGACCCGTCACGCAAGACCAAAGCCCTGCTGCAGTCAGTCCCGCTAGCACCAGAAGCCTTCAGTCACACAAACACAGCAGTGTTCAGTCTGAGTCACAGCATATAACACAGCGTCATCATCTCTGAACATCTGCAGCCTGATCGCATTGTTTATTGTGACGTGAAGCTCAGAATAATGCTTTGGTTGAATTCAGCTCTGCTCAGTTAGTCAACGTCTCTGTATTTATTATGTATACTGTATATAAAGACACACACATACAGCAAATATTTTGAAAATACTTACGTGTATTTATTCATATAAATTATATCATATATAAATATATTTAATATATAAACGTAACATGTTTTTCTTAAATATATTATCTACATAATAAATATACACAGTGCACGCACATATATTATGTACACAGAAACGTTTATTTTGGATGTGATTAATCGTTTCACAGCACTCCATCAGGAGTCTCTTCAGACAGAGCAAACACGTACACATATCTACAGTATGTGTGAGAGATTATGATTACTTATGATTAGTTCAGTCTCACATTTGCAATTCAGATACACTGTCCAAATGTAGAGGACTAGATCAGGACTGGTTTATATCGTGTATGACTGGACTGAGGGTCTGTGCGTCTGCAGGATGGTGCAGCAGTTCTCGGTGGACTTCGAGAAGCGTATCGAAGGCTCTGGTGATCAGGTGGACACCGTGGAGCTGTCTGGAGGAGCCAAGATCAACCGCATCTTCCACGAGCGCTTCCCTTTCGAGCTGGTCAAGGCAAGTCAGCCGGACACTGAGACTGTGCTCTGTGCTCTGTTCTCACGGCTCCGTCCTAACCGTCCTTGTTTCTGACCCGTCTGTGTGACAGATGGAGTGTGACGAGAAGGAGATGCGGCGGGAAATCAGCTACGCTATCAAGAACATCCATGGCATCAGGTGAGGCGTGCTTCAGGGTCCTCGCGCTCGCTGCGGGATCAGATCTGTGGGTTTAGGGTCCGGTGTGTGTTTAGGTCAGCGCTGAAGATGACTGTGTTTCTGATGCAGGACGGGTCTGTTCACTCCAGACATGGCCTTCGAGGCGATCGTGAAGAAGCAGGTGGTGAAGATCAAGGAGCCGTGTATTAAGTGTATTGATCTGGTGGTTCAGGAGCTGATCAACACGGTGCGTCAGTGCTCTGATAAGGTGCGTCGCTCTCGGTTCAACACTAACACCACTGCAGTACTCAGAACTCAGCAGGGGTGGGCCATGTGGCAAACATATCATATCACGGTTTTATCACGATTCTTTGTCATGCTGGTTTTATTATTTAGCAAGTAGTATGAGCAGTACAGCCAAACTAATTTCCCTTTTTTAAAAACAACGCAAAGGTAACAAAATATAAAATAAAATACAAAAGAATGGCAGACATTTAGGCCAAAGTCGGCGAGGATAAAAACCATTGTCACCGTTTTATCTTTGTTATTAAAAAATAAGAACAAAGATACATGTTACAAATACACTTAATACACAAATGAAACAAACAGTAGGCTACAGTAGATGTATTTAGCAGTAGCGTTTAAGAAATTAACGAATTAACAAATATAAAAGTAAAACACTATACACATAAATTAAACATTGATTCTTATTAAAGCACCTGTATTACAGTTCTTCAGTCAAGAGCAGCGAGTGGTTTATCAGTTAGACAGCACACGTGCAGCACATACTCACAGCACAAACAAATACAGAAACCAGCAGCTACAGACCACAACTAAATGAAAATTATCCCTTTGGTTAGTATAGAAAATCCATGGTTAATTTGTGCATGGTTATGGTTTAATTATGGTAACCATTTTTTGTTTTTATTTATTTATTATATAATAAATGTATTTATTAATTAATTAATTTTAATACCATAGGCTATGGTTGATATTTGTAAGGGAAGTTGTAAAAGCAAGTTAGCCAGCTTACATAACCTATCACAGTTACAGTAACAGATTATTATAGCCACACACAAAAAAAAGAGAGAGAATCTCACCTTTCAGAGCCAACATTGATAAATATGGCATCCTAATGATCATAAAAATAACATTGCACATTTTCCACAAAAATCTAGAAATGTTCAAGTCCACAAAATGATTTTTTTTTTTCACAAAAAAAAAATCACAAGAAAATGAAATCTTGGTTGGACTGATAAATGCCATTCATTAGGTCTCTGTGTGTCTCAAATGCTGCAGGCCTCACATTTATTCATCTTTCTTCATTATTGCTCAGTGACGTTTAGCTGATTTTCACACAGATGTTCCAGCAGAGGACGCACATGTGTACTTCATCACTTTAGGAAAACACTGTCGTTATTAGTAACTTTATTTTCAGCGGTGTGTCTCTGTGAGTTTACGAGGTGGACTCTCAGACCCAAATCCATCAGATGGCCTGCTCTGAGTGGAGCGGCTCAGTTTGAAAGCATCATATCAGCAGTCCATAGTATTAGCATAGCATGCACTAGTCATATTCTCTTCTGAGCAATGATTTTCTGGAGCAGTGTTTTTAAAGCCAGCCACCGCACTAGTTCAGTAAGGCCACTGCAGTGTAGTTTATTAGGGTTTAATGCTGAACTAAAGCTGTGGGTCAGGCTTCTGATCTTGTGTTTTCTACACGCTCAGCTGGATTCGTTCCCTTGTCTGCGGGAGGAGACGGAGCGGATCGTCACGTCTCATATCCGTGACAGAGAGAGCAAAGCCAAAGAGCAGGTGCGACACTCCTGGACATGTGTGTGTGTGTGTGCGTGTGCGTGTGTGTGTGTGAGTGTGAGTGATTGTGTGTGTGTGTGTGTGTGTGTGTGTGTGAGTGATTGTGTGTGTGTGTGTGTGTGTGAGATTACGGCTCTGCAACGTCTGTGTCTGTGTCTCTGCAGGTGCTGCTGCTCATCGACGTTCAGCTCGCGTACATCAACACCAACCACGAGGATTTCATCGGCTTCGCCAAGTATGTGCAGATCTTTGCCTGAGCACGAGGCTGTGACACGGTTAACATTGTTAATCTAATTAATTACATGATGTGCCGATTAATTAATCAGATTAATAATGGCACAGCTATTTGGCTGAGAAATACCCCCAAAAGACATTACAAAGAATAGATTTAGAAAGAAATATTTTGATTCAAGAATGCATAAATGCTGATAATAAATGGGTATTCATATTTTTTTAATTGAATATTGAAATATGATTTTTTTAATGAAACGATGCTCTAAATTTGAAACTGAAAGTGCCAGTAGGAGGCAGCAAATAATGATTGAGTCGTTGAATCATTGACTCACTTGATTCACTCAGAGACGAATCACCGATGTGTGTTGATCAGAGATGCTCAACAGTTCTTCTGTTGGTTTGATTGGAACTATTTTCATTTGTGAAATTGAGCAAAAACACAATATTGTGTCTAAAATGTAACACAAATGTTTATTGAAATATTGTATAAAATCAGTATCATATTTTCAGTGGTGCAGATATTAAAGGGGTCATGAACTGCCTTTGTTTTTTTATGTTGTCCTGTTCTCTGAGGTCCACTTATAATGTTATCTAGATTTTTACATCAAAAGCATCATAATTTAGCAGTAATAGGCTATTTTCTGTCCTGTTTTAACCCCCTCATCAGAACACTGTTTGAATAGTCGTGGAGGATTGTAGACTTGGAAGTAAACACTGCTGTGATTGGCTAATAGTTGTGTATGATTGACAGCGTGCATTCCTCATAAATGGACGCTGCCGTGATTTAGGTTAAAAACACGTAAATAAATACATATGCATATCAAACAGTCTGTTTAACAGACAAAGCAATAGTGATCACGTAATGAAATCCTAAAGTTGGGATCAGAAGAAAGGCGACGCAGGCCTGGGTTTTCTCTCGTAAACAATACATTTGCGAATCGGTGGGCGGGGCTAAACAGGCATCGATGTAGAATCAGATATCAGTGGGCAGGGCTAAACAGGTAGTGATGTTGGATCGGTGGGCGGGGCTAAACAGGTAGTGATGTTGGATCGGTGGGCGGGGCTAAACAGGTAGTGATGTTGGATCGGTGGGCGGGGCTAAACAGGTAGTGATGTTGGATCGGTGGGCGGGGCTAAACAGGTAGTGATGTTGGATCGGTGGGCGGGGCTAAACAGGTAGTGATGTTGGATCGGTGGGCGGGGCTAAACAGGCAGCGATGTAGAATCAGGCATTGAACTTTTTCTGCGGAGGCGGTGTTTCTCCACACTATTACATCATAAAGTAGAACATTCCAAAAGCTTTTGTTTTGGCAGACTGCCTTCAATATAAGCTGTTTTTAGAGTAACGAGTTCTGAAACTTTATAGTACAATGACCATTGTACATTGTATATTTATGTCAAAATATCAAGGGAATTTTGGTTTCTCAGTTCATAACCCCTGTAAGGAAAAGCAGCACTCTTGCTGGTGTGATATTGCTATATACTATATCATATGATATAAATATAAGAGGGTGATTTTTTTTTTCATTCATATCTTGAATTTTAGGCTCATATAACTGCATTCTAACAGACTCCATCACACAGTTAGTCATTCCTGTCTCACTGTCATATTCACCAGTGCTTTCTCTCTTTCTCTCTCACACACACACACACACACACACACACACACACACTCTCTGTCTCTGTCACACACACACACACACTCTCTCTGTCTCTGTCACACTCTCTCTGTCACACACACACACACTCTCTCTCTCTCGCTCTCTCACACACACACACTCTCTCTCTCTGTCACACACACACACACACACACTCTGTCACACTCACACACACAAACTCTCACACACACACACACTCTCTCTCTCTCTCGCTCTCTCTCACACACACACTCTCGCTCTCTCTCTCTCTCGCTCTCTCTCTCTCTCGCTCTCTCTCTCTCTCGCTCTCTCTCTCTCTCGCTCTCTCTCTCTCTCGCTCTCTCTCTCTCTCGCTCTCTCTCTCTCTCGCTCTCTCTCTCTCTCGCTCTCTCTCTCTCTCGCTCTCTCTCTCTCTCGCTCTCTCTCTCACACGCACACACACACACACTGTCTGTCTCTCTCACACTCTCTCTGTCTCTCTCACCCACACCCTCTCTGTCTCTCAGTGCTCAGCAGCGCAGCAGTCAGGCGAATAAGAAGAGCTCTGCAGGGAATCAGGTCAGTGTGCTGGTGTTTGTGAAGGCCGTCTATGTTGATGGCACTCCAGACATCGATGCTCTTTATTGCTTTGTTGTCATTTTACATGGCTTTGACTTTCTTTCTGCTCTGCTTTTACTGCCCTCACTTTATTACTCAGTAATTCTTGTGTTTGTCAGGATGTCCATGTGTTATGGACATGTTGAGTGTTTCTGTTCTCACACACGTGTGTCATGTTCTCTTCACTATCCTCCCGTGTGCGCGAGCGGCTCCTGCGTGATGTGCTGTTGTGTTTGGCTCAGGAGCTCCAGGTAAGAGCTTCTCATGTCCCCTGTGTCTCCATCACTCCTGTCTCATCAGAGCGAGATTGTCTCTGTCTCAGCACACACTGACGACAGATAGAAACTGCTCTGTTCATGCATCCAAACAGCAGAACGTGTCAAACATTACAGAACCTTTACTTCACTAAAAGCATTCACGTTTCCTCATTGCTTTATGTAACGTGATATGTTCCCTTTGCATAATTTTTCTGATTTCCATGGCTCTTTCTCTAGCAGAACGGTGTACAGGTCCTGTTTTTTACTGTGCACAAGCGTAGTTTGCATACCTTGACGTCACAGCAGCTGTGAACCTCTTCATTCATTCAAATTATTCAGTGTTTTAGAGTTTTGTTACTCTTATTGGACTCATTCAGGAGGATATCAGACACAAGTTTAATTTGTTATTAGAAGCGTTTACTGTCAGAGATGAAATCCTGCAGCATGTAGTGATCAGTCTGGTTGTTTTATTGACTGCAGAAGCGCGTCTGACAGATCTAGGATCAGTGTGGTGACGTGGTGCACTGATGAGAGAGGAGCGTTTGGTGAAGACTGGGCTTTAATGAAGGAGATCTGTGTGTGTGTGTGTTTGTGTGTGTGTGTGTGTGTGTGTGTGTGTGTGTGAGAGAGAGAGAGAGAGAGAGTGTGTGTGTGTGTGTGCGTGTGTGTGAGTGTGTGGTGTGTGTGTGTGTGAGAGAGAGAGAGAGAGAGTGTGTGTGTGTGTGTGTGTGTGTGTGCGTGAGTGAGTGTGTGTGTGTGTGTGTGTGTGAGAGAGAGAGAGTGTGTGTGTGTGTGTGTGTGTGTGTGCGTGAGTGAGTGTGTGTGTGTGTGTGTGTGTGAGAGAGAGAGAGTGTGTGTGTGTGTGTGTGTGTGTGTGTTAGAGATTACGCTTTTCATGATACGTCATTAATTAACATTTTATCATTAGTATTTATAATATGCATTATACAGCCGTTAGTTTAGGTGTCGATCTGAGCTCGTCTAATAGTGGTTTCACTGCACTCGTCTGTGTTTGTTCAGACAGACTGTGTTAGTAAAGGGTTTACACTGACTGCAGTTACTCAGGTACGCCTGTAGCCTCTCCCCTTCACTGCTGCATGAAGTGTCCAACAAAGCCACTAGAAGCCACCTTTAGCCAAAACAGCGTAACGGCTAATGCTAACAGAAAGGAGACCAGATGCGGTTTATTTGAATGGATGTCAATGGAGGAGAGGCTTCACTTCTCTGAATAAACAGCTTTTTAGAGGAAATGGCTCATCATTTAATGAATCGACAGCCTATCTGCTAATCTCCAACATGTTTTACACTCAGCAATAATTTTGGATTGAACTATTTTTAGAGTTTACCACGAAAAAAAATGCCGTTTTATAAGAGAAGTCACTGACTTTTGCGACAGCTGGGATTCAGTTTACGGCACTCCTCATTCATTCCTATGGGATCCGTAAACGACGACTGAGTGTCGTGCAACTCTGACTGAAATTCAGTGACGCAAGGCTGTGATTGGTTATTAAGTTAGCCGTTATGCTTTCTCCAATAGTAAGTAATACAGACCCTCTCATCTCTCTGGTGTTCAGTGTGAACACACTACTCACACTATTTATACTACAAAACATCACGGAGTAGTGCATGTGTGCGTGATTTGGGACGCAGCCACTGTCTCACACTGTTGATTTCTCACGTCATTCATCCACATCCGTCCTTGTGTCCTGCACTGTTTCTGATGGAAGTGTGTGTTTGTGATGTGACGCGTCTGGCTTTCTCCGTCAGGTGATCCGTAAGGGCTGGCTGACCATCAATAACATCAGCATCATGAAGGGAGGAGCGAAGGAGTACTGGTTCGTGCTGACCGCCGAGAGCCTGTCCTGGTTCAAAGATGACGAGGTGAGATGAATAACAGACAATGACTGTAGAGAGAAGAGCGTGTTCCTGTTCCTTTGTGTGCTGTTTTATCATACTATATTAGCTGCAGAAGTCAGTTATTCAGGCATAAACCAGAAAGAGTCTGAAATCAGTGATTCAATGGTTCAAAACAGATGATTCGGTGCTCAGATGTACAGATCTGTCTTTGTTTAGATTGGATTGACAAACTATTGCACGTTCTTTAAATGTCATGACCAATTTCTCTCAACCAATGCAAACCAGCTACACTCACTGCACAAACATGTATCCGCTTTTACTATTGTGACTCAAACACTAAAGCTTGTTGCTTTCTGAATTGTTTAAATGACACGCTCATGTTTCGGAGCTGTTTCAGTCTTTGGTCAATGCAGAATGCAATCCATCGACGCGTGGTTTAATCATGAGCAGAATGTGTGTGAGAAGACTGTGATGACATCTTGATGAACCTGTTGAGCTCATTTAGATCCAGTTCTGCTGCTGACCCGTGTCTTTATCTGGATGCCGCAGGAGAAAGAGAAGAAGTACATGCTGCCCCTGGACAATCTGAAGGTCAAAGATGTGGAGAAAAGCTTCATGTCCAGCAAGCACATGTTTGCCATCTTCAACACGGAGCAGCGGTAAATGACAGATCTCGCTCTGCTGGTTTACATGCAGTCATTTCTATGAGGATAGCACAGCTGTAGCAGCACAGAGGAGTCAGGGCTAGTCTTAGTTTTCACGGTAACACTTTACTTGAAGGGGTGTGCATAAGACTGACATGACACATTCATAATCATGACATGACACATGTCATGAATATGAAGGAGGTTTTATGCATGTTTATGACAACTGTCATTAAGTGTCATTCGATCAGTTATGTCATTTTTAATGCAAATATGACATTATTTGACCTAACCCTACCCCTACCCTTACCCCTAACCATAGCCCATAACAAAGACATCTCAAACAATGTCATCTTTGCATTAAAAAGTACATAACTGAGCGAATGACACTTAATGACAGTTGTCATAAACATGCATAAAAAACCTTCATATTCATGACATGTGTCATGACATGATTATGTAGGTGTCATGTCATGATTATGAAGGTGTCATGTCAGTCTTATGCACACCCCTTCAAGTAAAGTGTAACCGTTTTCACTCGTGGAGTTTTCAGAGATCCTGCGATGCTCTGCTGTCTGTGATGTTTCTGGTTTTCTCTCAGGAACGTGTTCAAGGACAACCGTTTCTTGGAGCTGGCGTGTGACACTCTGGAGGAGGTGGAGAGCTGGAGAGCGTCGCTGCTGCGCGCCGGCGTTTATCCCGAGAGGGCCGTGGTCAGTGATCAATATCTGACCTCTTTATCAATCACCAGAAGCCTCATGTCAAGCTTTTTTTTTAGTTTTTTAATTTCAGGGTTCGTACAAGGTGCTTAAAGTGCTTGAATTTGACTTTTTGAAGTGTAAGTCCTTGAAAACAGCCATATTTATGAAAAGGTTCTTGAAAAGTACTTGGATGTTTAAAAGCCAGTATATATGAAATTGGTGTTAATTTTTGTTTTCGATACAAACAATCTGTTCTCGCTAAATTAACGATGCAGCTCGTCTGATGTAAATACAGAGCCGTTTCGCCTGGCTTTAGCAGCGCACGAGATCTCGCGATATCTGGATAAAGTTGATTTTGGGGTAAAATCTTTGATAGTGCTTGCATTATATTGTTCGGTCTTTTATTGCATGTGCTGTTTATATGCGATTTGTTGTACATCGCAATTTTGAAATAAAAGTGCAAACCCTCGCTCTGAGTTTGCATGCTGCCAAATATTAAAATTAAATGGATTTAAACATTTTATCACACTGTAAAGTGAAGCATCACCAGGCCGCTGGCGCCCTCTGCAGGTGTTTGCTATAATACATAATGTACTTGTTATGTTCATATTATGTATAGGCATATTACTTTATGTATTTTAACAGTGTTGTTCAATAAAACCATTTAATTACTTGGTTTTGATACTTTATTTGAACCAAGTATTATTGTCTCGTCGTTAGTGTAATAAATGTAGTCAAACTAAAGCCTGTTTTTTCACTTAGGTCTATTTTCATTACTAAAAAATATCAGATTACTGAATTGTCAAAATAATCAGTTACTTGATTACCAAAATAATCGTTAGTTACGGCTGTAGATTAGTTAAATGTTTCAAAATACAACTGCATTGTTTTGCTTTTTGTGATTAAAAGACAAATATTTTGTCATTGAACATTTCTTAAAAATAGTATTAAGATATTGTCTGGTTCTAGTGAACCAAGTATTGTCACACCCCTGGCGTCTCCGAGCGGGATATAGCTCTTAACTTTCCAAGTGTATGATGAAGCTTGTACTCTTCAGCTCAATCATATATTCATAAAAAATAACTTTGAATAAGGAGAGCGATAACTTTGCCATAGTATCCTTTCAGGTTGCCACAGCCATTGCATGCTGTTTTATGACAATTTCATTAGTTTATTTATTTGAATTTGAAAGATTATAACAATATTGTGATCTCTGATTTTAGTCCGTGAAAGTCCTGGAATTTCATTTTGCAGTTTCTGTACGAACCCTGTAATTTTTAGTATTTAAAAATTTAATTAATTAAGGTAGGATTTTACACTGTTTACACTATTTGTTCTGTAGATATTGTTTGATGAGAAATAAAAGCAAAAGCTTAAGTTTTTTTTTTTTTTGGTGTACCATCATCAGTCTTCACAAATATTCACGATCACTGCTCTAAACTGACGGTGATTAACCTCATTATTCCGTCTCTGTACATAGACACATTTGCATAGATGGACGAACATAATCACCTGATTTTGTAAATGTGACCAATTACATTTGCATTAAGTTTGTGCTGGTCTATAAATTACATTCACAAAGCAAGCCTACAGTAGTGGAAATCAGCTGTTTTTAGTGAAAGTAGATCCCTGATTAATTAAATGATTGAGAAAACATGTTTTATTGTTGTTCAGTTTAGTTCGATTAGTTTCATACATATTATTTCTATATACAGTATTTTGTAGGCGTCATCTAAAGCTTTACGGGGTTTTTCATGATTTTACATGACGCTTACATGAGATTAACTCTGAAGCATGAGCCCTGTTCCTCGCGGCTGAGCTTTCTCTTTCTCTCAGGTGGAGAGTGAGAGTTCTGGCCCGTCGGAGAACTTCTCCATGGATCCTCAGCTGGAGAGGAAGGTGGAGACCATCAGGAACCTGGTGGACTCCTACATGGCCATCGTCAACAAATGCATCCGCGACCTCATGCCCAAGAGCATCATGCATCTGATGATCAATAACGTAAGGATGCTGTGTGACCGCTTGACCTTTGACATCAGATAGGAACAATGGAAAGCTTATTTATTCAGCTCAAACACATTGACCCTTATGAGTGGTTTTGTGGTCCAGGGTCACGTATGAGCTAATTATCATCATGCTGCTGCTCCGCAGGTGAAGGAGTTCATTAACGCGGAGCTCCTGGCGCAGCTGTACTCGGCTGGAGATCAGAACGCTCTGATGGACGAGTCTCAGGAGCAGGTGCAGCGGCGCGAGGAGGTTCTGCGCACACACCACGCTCTGAAAGAAGCTCTGGCCATCACCGGAGACATCTCCACCACCACCATCTCCACACCGCTGCCTCCGCCGGTGGATAACTCCTGGCTGAGCGCCGGCGCCGGCTCCCGCAGGTAACAGACAGAGCTCTGAGTGTAGAGCTCCATGAGCTCAGTGTGTGGAGGACTGTAGCTCTCGTCCACTGCTTCACGCTCAGCCACAGCACACTAGAAACGGTCCAGGCTGCTTATGAATCGCTCCGTCAGTTCAGTCATCTGACTGCCTCATCTTCAAAGCCTTGATTTGTGTATGAGAGAAGAGAGGACCTTGTGGTGCACATTCTTAATTAACCGTGTTGGGGGTAACGCTTAGAGATGGTAGAAAAAAAAAACTTTAAAAAAAAAAAAACACATTTTGTAATCATTATGTAAAATTAGCTACAGGACCCAGAAACCCCACCCCTGAAAAAGAAGTTGGTCACACCATCCCCCCTGAATTTTTTTTTACAATTCGACCGCTGCCCATAAGTATTCCTCAATCTATTCATTATAAACAATATAACAAGAAAAAGACCCGTGGTATGTAAATGTGTAAGTATATTTTTTTCCAGCACAACTATATTTACATATCTGACTCAATAAGTGCAGCGCATCTTTATTCCTCGAGGTGGCACTGTTTGATGCACAATGACGATGTGATGTTTCACTCATAATTACCGCAGGCATAAAACAAACGAATATCATCAGCAGAAACTGAACTGGTTTGAGCGGCTTTACTGCAGAGCAATTACTGTACGCAGTGAAATATAAATGTCACTGTCATTTGATGCTGGATGGGGTGAATAAGCTGCCAGTGATCAACATATTGATTTTGAAGCCATTGAAAATGATAGTTTTGAGAATATGTTTGAGATCGTGAATAAGAGCCCTCTGTGCGCTCTGACAACAACAGCTCAAATCCAACCCTTCTAAGTTTCTTTATTATAAAATATGCTTTATTTTATTCTTCTGTAGTTGTTCTGTAAGAGTTTTTTGTTATTGCAGCAGTTAGAGATCCACCTCGCTGAAGACTCATGATTGGCGAAACATTTGTGCGTTTAAGAGTTAATCGAGCAGCCAGGTTGTTCTGCGAGGGAGTGCGTGTGGTTTTCCTGCAGATGTGAGAGTGTCTGTGGTCTGCAGGTCTCCTCCTCCGAGCCCCACGGCTCCGCGCCGGATGTCTGCGGGACAGAGACCTGCTGGGAGAGGTGCTCCTGCGCCTCCGTCTCGCCCCGGACCCTTGGGGCCCCTGAACAACAGCGCTGACAGCCCACAGGTTCCCAGCCGGCCCAACCGAGCGCCTCCCAGCATTCCCAGGTGAGACCTGACCTGATCTCTGTTCTTACCATCTGCTTCTGACTGACCTATCGGTAAGCCCCGCCCCCTTAGTTACTGTTGCTCAGTGACAAACAAACAGCTGCTCACTGTCTTATGATGACAGCTGTCAGTGAAAACCTTGGTCTTCTTTCAAGTGGGACTTAAATATGCCATGGAGGGATATATAAAAGGTATTAAACTAAATATGTAAAAATACAGATCACAATGCAAACGGGAGAATTATGTTAAGGTCGTCACGATCGCAATGACAACATCCCGGATCAACACCGTTCATATACCGCAGAGTAAGATTACATTCATTTACATTTAACCAGATTAATGTGGAGAGGCACTCTTATATAGACCTTCGTTTATGTGTTTTTGACTTTTGACAGTTCGCTGTTTAGGTTTGTACGTTAGCATGAACTCACTGACTTTAACGCTAACGTTAGCTAGTTTTAGCCAGAGATAGCTTGCTGAAGCACAAGATGATATTAACGTTCTGCTTGAGCAGATGAAAAGTGTAACTTAATGAGAGTATGACAACCAGAAAATGAATGTTTTCATCTTCATTGTGATTGGGGTTGAATGCTTAGGGACATTTTGCTCTGTTTTGGTTGGGTTTAGAAAATGGAATAAAATATATTCTATTGCCTGTCCTCTCAGGATAGCTGGAATCAGTGTTACAAGGACCCCAGGCACATCATAGCATAAACTCCATTAAACTGATTTGCGCTTCGGATCTTCCAGTGTTTCTCTATGGCACTGAAACCTACAGATGTCCGAGTTCAGCCCCCCGTGCAACTGATACTCGACTGCCATTGGCTCATCTGCACTCGAGGGGAGGGGCTTACCGATTGCATTACAGCATTCCCCTCTAGCACACAAACACACGCTCGAATGCTCAGCTGATGCATTGCTAGTGTGCAGTACATCTACTGGATGTAATCTCAGTCTCAGTTTCTTCATGTCATTCCAGACAGACTGCATGATGATCAGATCAGATCTCAAACAAAAACCTCACTGCATTATTACAGTTAATGGCTAAATGAATGTTTGGACATGTAAACTGATATTTCCTACTGACACACTACAGCAAAAGATAGAAATAACTGACTTCAAACCATTTTTTAGCTGTGTTGTAATCATTTTGGCCAGCACTGTATATTAATTAACATGCAAATGCTGTCTGACCGTCTTCTAATACTGCTTACAGATACTAATTCTGTCTTTCTGTCTCTTACCCTGCCATCCATTGCCTTCCTCGACGCTTCTGCTGCCATGAACACTATCTTCTTCTTCTTCTTCTTCTTCTAACACAGCCGGCGTCCTCCTCCTTCCCCGACGCGTCAGCTTCCCCCGTGAGCGGCGTCTGTCGTCTGCGTGTGCAGTGATCTCTGTGTGTGTGTGTGTGTGTGTGTGTGTGTGTGTATGTGCCTCCAGTCTCCTCCATCTTCACACAACCCTCCTGAAGCGCTTCTAGCGATGCATGCTCGTTTACTTCAGCCTGTTGACCTGCGTGTTCACTTGTGTTACTTGTGTCATACTATACCATAGTGTGTGAGCGGCATATATTAGTGCAAGTCTGGAAGTATGTGTGTGTGTGTGTGTGTGTATGTGGATAAATTAAAAGATAGAGGTGTAAAATAGTTTAAGTTATGTGATATTTGTCTTTACATTTAAATGATTAATGTTTTTTATTTCGTAATGTTGTTTGTCATTGAAAAGGCTCAGAGGAGACCTTTATTTCTTACTTGTGAACACTGGTTTCGCCTGTTTTGTTGTTACTCGCAGCAAACACGGCATCTTTAGACGTCATTGTCTGCAAACCCTTAAATGTGCACCAAAATATGAAATATATTCATCTTCTTGAATAGCGCCACCTGCTTGCCATACTAGACTAGTTGCTTACAGTTAATCCAAAATGTTGAACCAAAGTCCCTGGAACTGCAGTATACAGCTGTTCTGCTGTGTAGAAACTCAACTCTATGTACTGTACATGTTTCAGATGAACACAACACCAGACAGTCATCCATTACTGTGCAATAAATCTAGCTGTAGTTTAGTGTCGTGTCTATCGCTCTGTTCGTCACATTAGTGATATTTAAGCATCGATGATGTTCATTTGCTACTGTACTCATGTGAAGTAACTCCAAGACACATAGCATTCTCCAAAAGGACTAAATAAGGAATTCAAGACACATATGCAGGGATTCTTGGGAAATGCTGATGTGTTATTTTCACGTTCATTATTAAAAACATGAATATATGGATATATTATCTGCAGGTTTGTGAATCAGAGACTTTGTGCTTGTTCAAATGTGTCCTGCAGTATTTCAGTTACTAGTCTGATGACATTGAAACTGGTTAAACTACCTGCTGTTTGCTCCCAGAAACACACGCTTCTGTTCATCAGACGGATGTTTGTGTTCTTTATGTTAGTCACTCAGACTAAGCTACGCACACATTTTAGACACTTGATGACACTAGCGTTTGTTTAAGAGTAGATCTGAGGCTCAGACGGAAGTTTGACATTATATAATACATATATAATGCATTCATATGACGGCATTGAAAACGAATGCTGGAAAATGTGCTTTAGCTGTTTATTTGCTGTTCTCAGCAGACAGTTGCATAGTTTGAATAATAGTGGAGCAAACACCAGATTTGAGCGTCTCACTCTTTCTGTGTTTCATTATGGCTTGATGTACTGTAACTCTGTATGTATGAAATAAAATCTAGTATTATAAAATCAAATGAGAATCTGCAGTGTCTAATTACTGTTTGTTTCGTGTGGATGGTGATGTAAAGTTTCTCTCAAAAGCCCAGTTTTCTGTTTCAGGTTTTTCACAAAGGAGCTGTTCTGCTCGTTTCAGTCGCTCATAACACTTTGATTTGTGCGTGTGTGCGAAAGTGTGTGTGTGCGTGTGTGTGCGTGTGTGTGTGTGTGCATGTTTATGTGGTTTATGAGGACACAAATTTGTATAATAACATGAGTATGACATAGGTATTACAACAAGAAGGTGATTTATGAGGACATTTTCAGTGTCCCCGTAATTCAAAAGGCTTATAAAACATTCAGAATGAGTTTTTTTGAAAATCTAAAAATGCAGAAAGTCTCCTGTGAGGGGTAGGTTTAGGGGTAGGGTTGGTGTAGGGCAATAGAAAATACGGTGTGTACAGTATAAAAACCATTACGCCTATGGAGAGTCCCCATAAACCATAAAAACAAACTTGTGTGTGTGTGTGTGTGTGTGTTCAGGGATTCTGCTCTGAAAGCAGTGTCACAGATGCGTGTACAGCTGCATGCAATGCTGCTGGAAACCTGCCAAGGACCTCAGTTCACAAGCTGATTCCTTCTGAGGCCACTGTTTATTTAATGCTTTCCTCATCTGTGTCTGTCAGTGTCCGTGAGTCCAGAAGACCTGCTAAAGACCAAACAGGGAACAGGACCAACGCCTCCCGCATCCTGAGAGATCAGGTGATGTTTGCACACATGACGCAGTGAACGACCTGCGAATTCATCTTAAAACTGATGAGAATTTATACCAGAATCAGCATATTGCTTTCTAGTGTACATTAGTAGCATAACCTCAGTGAAATGCTTGAGAATCCCGAGGGACAGTGAGTGTTGGTCTGATCTGAATCTGTGCAGAGACCCGTCTGTGCCCTGCAGAGAGCAGGAGATCCCCAGCTCCTCGAAGCTGTGGACCAAGATCATGCTGGAGGTGGAGAACCAGAAGAGTGAGTCGTGTTGAGACCGGAGCTGCTCCTGCTCTTGCTGACAGTGTTTCTGTCCATCAGGTCAGATCACACACCTTTCTGACGGCCTTCACACTGCGGGGAAGAAGCTTCAGCAGACCGTCACCAACTACGCCTCTGTGGAGTGTGGAGCCAAGATCCTATCCTCTAGCCCCGAGGCCAAGGTTCATCAGCATGTCTGATCCCGTCTGTGTTTGACACCGAGTTACTGTGAGACAGGCACTGAACTCCAGAGTTAACTACACATATTACTGTTTTTCATCAGCAGGATTTTGTCTAAATAAGGTCAATAAGAGAATCAATTAAGTGTAATGAATTTTTCAGTTTTTCCAGAGCACTTCTGCTATTCTGATGGAGAGCATGTACATGCTGAATCCCTGCAATAACAAGATCTGGTGGGCCGATTAGACTGTTTGTTTTAACGTCAGGCAAAACTATTCTGTGTGATAATTGTTGTGTGTTGCTGTGATTGATCTGAAGTCTTGCTGTTGTCCGTGTGTATGTTTGTTTCAGGATCAGAGACAGACAGACTGCATCCACGCGCTGCAGGCTCAGCTGGAGAACGTGATGCAGCTCGTCCTCAGTCTGTCTGTCAGCGTGAGTCGACTGCAGTGAGAGGTGATCAGCCTGTTCACTAGTTTATAATTATCAGTTTATAATGTCAAAACACCACCATCAGATGAGCAGCAGCGCGCTGTCATCATTCATATTTCAACTAACTCAATGTCTGAGTACATTAAATTTCTAAATTAAATTATTAGTAAATTTCTCAAATTCCTTTTTTCTGATTACTGAAGTCTTTTATTAATGCAGTGTCACTGCACGGCCATTGGTTCGTGCAGTAAATAAAAAACTAACCAATGGCAAGGCAGCAGAGCTGCACGAGCCTATGGCCATGAAGCTGAAATGGCCAGGGTCATCTGGCTATATAAGCGGGCATTCTGGCATAGGATCCTCAGGTTAATTTGACTGAAGCAACGACGCTGAAGCAGCTACATAGCACGGCTAGCAACGCAGTACTCGTTCCCGTATCTCAGGGAACCGAGGTTACGTTAGAAACCGAGTTTTCCCTATCGATAATTCACTTGCACTGCGTCGCTAGACGCGATGGGGAACCAGTACAATCACACCATGCTATGATAGAGGAACGACTAATACTTGAACTTGCCTTACACCATGTCCTAACTACACGCAACGTGAAAAGATTCCAGCGACAAGCAATTTGGGTGCCCACACCAGAGGCGACACGAAGAATCAATCAAATATCACAGCCAATCAGAAGCGTGTGTGGGCGGGCTCTCTCTGGAAACGCACTGCACTCGCAACGAAATGGATAAATTTATAATCTAATTAAAAAATATCAAACCTTTTTAAAGGGGTCATATGATGCGATTTAAATTTTCCCTTTCTCTTTGGAGTGTTACAAGCTCTTGGTGCATAAAGAAGATCTGTAAAGTTTCAAAGACTAAAGTCTCAAATCCAAAGAGATATTCTTTATAGAAGTTAAGAGTCAGCCACACCGCTTGTTGTTTGTCATTTCTCCGATCACAAATGCAGACATGGTTTTATGTTTACACGGCGCGATGCAACGCAATGCGTAAAAAGACAGTATAAGTCATTATAATCCATAATTATGTCCCCACTGGATGCAACGAATGCCTCGTTTATAATTGGATTTCATGTTTTTGAATCATCGCTCCGGCCGGGACACGGCATCACAGTATGGTAAGGGGCGTAACATTTCAGTCACTTGCTTGAGGTATTCGGCCAATCACAACGCACTGGATAGCTGGCCAATCACAGCACATCTCGCTTTTCAGACCGATGAGCTTTGTAAAAATCGATGCGTTTCAGAAAGGCGGGGCATAGAGGAGAAACAATAATGTACAGTATGTGGAAAATAATGTGTTTTTTTAACCTTAAATCACATAAACACATTTCATTACACCAAATACTGTTTTTTTTAGCAGCATCATATGACCTCTTTAACATCATTAAATGTACTAACTGAGTGACTGATACCATCTTTGTTATGAAATACACTTGTTGGTCCGCAGTGAGTTCACAGTTTTTTAATTTTGCTTTAATTTTCAAGATCTGAGTTCAAGGCAACCGTGCCTAGTGTGAGGACACCCTTAGATTATCTACTGTCATATAGTTATATAGCGGACCAGAACGTGGTGTGCCCTTAAGTCTGGCAGGAAGGTCTGAAGGGCTCAACACACTGCCAGCATGTCCAGGCAGTTGATGTGTAGCCGACCTTCCTTGTCCGACCAGAGCCAAAGTCGTTCTGCCTTCACACAAAGCTCCCCAAATGGAGTTGGACGCATCTGTCGAGAAGACCTTCCTTCTGCAGACCATTCCCAGAGCCATGCCCTGTTCTAACCACTGAGGGCTCTTCCAAGGGGCCAGGGCTGTCACGCAGGCCTGGTCCACCTTGATATGTAAGCGTCCATGATACCAGGCATGGGACGGAACCCGAGGTTTCAGCCAGTACTGAAGGGGCCCCTGCAAAGCAGGCCCAGCTGTAGCACCGGAGATGCAGAGGCCATGAGGCCTAGCCATTTCTGAAACATCCTCAGAGGGAGAGAGGCCCCAACTTTGAAGGTGGCCACGAGCTGCTGTATGGCCAGGGCACGCCGTGACTACAGCCCTCATTTGGGTTGAGTCAAAGACTGCTCCCAGGAATGAAATCCATTGGCTGGGAGACAGCAAGCTCTTGGAAAAATTGACCCTGAGACCCAGGCACTCCCAAGTGGCTGAGGAGAAGGGACCTGTGGGATAATAGCTCGGCCTCTGACTGGGCTAAGACGAGCCCGTTCAGAATGCAGATTCCCATCTGTCTCAGAGGGGAAAGAGCTGCATCCATACACTTCGTAAACTTACGAGGAGCTAGAGACAGTCCGAAGGGGAGGACCGTGTATTGATATGCCACTCTCTCGAAGCCGAATCTCAAGAATCGTCTGGGATGGGGGGCTATCTGGATGTAAATGTAAACATCTTTCAGGTCCAGAGAGAAGAACCAGTCCCCTGGGCATATTTGCAAGAGGATCTGCTACAAAGTAGTCATCCTGAACGGCCATTTCATGAGGGCATGATTCAGGTGCCTGAGGTCGAGGATGGGCCGGAGACCGCCTTCCTTTTTGGGGACAAGGAAGTAACGGCTGTAGAAGCCTGACTCGCTCTGAGCTGGTGGAACCGTCTCTGCGGCTCCGTGTGGCAAGGGGTTGGATTGACTCGAGTGGTAGGTCGCTGTGAGGGGACCTGATGCACGTGATAAATTGGAAGAGGAAAAATGCTCTCTTTTGAGTATGTTTGTGTTTTAGTTTGTCCGCTATCGCAGTGGTTATTTGCATGGGCGCTCGAACGGGTCCGGTGCTTTCAACAAACACCTTGTCTCCAAACAAGTACTGTTTGTTGGTTCGTTTTTAATTTACTGCACGAACCAATGGCTTTGCAGTTACATTGCGTTATTTAAAAAGGCTTCAATAATCTGAGAAAAAGGAGTTTCCCCATCGCGTCTAGTGATGCAGTACGAGTGAAGTGTCGATAGAGAAACACGCAAGAGACGAATAGAGAAATGCAAACCATTGCAGATTCTCTGGTAACACAACCTTCAAAAAAATAATCATTGAAAATATCAGTGCAAATTCCCTTATCAGCACAATAATTATGAAAATATTAATTTTCCCAGTTATCAGCCGATAACATTTCAGCCACTGATGTACTGTGGAGAAATGAAAGCACTTTATGATGAAGAGTGTGAGATGAATGAATTAAAAGATCATGCTGCTGCTGCTGATGACAATGATGATGATGATGATGATGAAGATGTTGATGATGATACTGATGACGATGATGAAGATGCTGATGATGTTGCTGTGCCCTGCAGGTGTCTGACAGGCAGACCTACATCCTGCTGTGTCTGCTTCTCTGTGTTCTTCTGGGGCTGCTGATCTATGTGAACTACCGTCAGATATCAGAGAGTCCTGCTGTCGATTCACCGAGATCCTGCGGACTGGAGAGATGAGGAGACGACCATCAGGGGTTTACACTATAGTGACCAGCTCCTGCAACAGGACTGATGTGATCAGTCGCAGGTAAATCATGATGTGTTGTTTTCAGAGAGCTGTCTGATGATGAAGCCGTGCTGCTGAGACGCAGAGCCTCTGATCCGATTTCACTCTCGTCCCTGCAGATGCCTGTCGGTGAGTTCATGATGTTATCAGTCTAATGAACGATTCCTCAGATCATGTGTGTTGTTGAGGAGATGCTGCACTGTCACAAACACTGTTAGCAGTGAGGTTTCCTGCGGTGGATGTAAAACTCTTGCTGTTGTTGTATTTATTTCAGGAGGTTCTGAAGAAACCAGCAGCCATAAACAGTGGGAAGATTGCCCAGTTAGTAGAAAAGTATGATGGGTGTCTCTGAATTGTTGTAGACTTTGGTCTTTAAGTCTCACAAATCTGGAAATCTGCTGCGTCTTTATGGTGAGTTTCTATTTCTTGCAGAAGAAGCAGAAAGTGAAGCTCAGCAGAGGTCTGGAGACATGGTCCACTCCATCGTTCCCTCACACATCTTTTGGGTTTGGAGTTGGTTTTTTGTGTCGACGGCAGAGACGTGATGTTCAACGGCACCTCTGAAGGCTCCTCGCAGGCCGACGAGACGCTGTTCTGTGGAATCGTCAGCTGTGCTCGTCTGTGTGAGGCGTTACCTGCTCCGAAGCGCTGGACACAGCGGCCCACGCCAGACCGGCTCCGAGACTGAACCGAACCGGACTGAACCGGCTCCGAGACGCCCGAGATAATTGAACTGAACCGGACTGAACTGGCTGTGAGATGCCCGAGATAACTGAACTGAACCGGCTCTGAGATGCCCGAGAGAACTGAACTGAACCGAACCGGACTGAACCGGCTCTGAGACGCCCGAGAGAACTGAACTGAACCGGACTGAACCGGCTCTGAGATGCCTGAGAGAACTGAACCCGCTCTGAGATGCCCGAGAGAACTGAACTGAACCGGCTCTGAGATGCCCGAGAGAACTGAACTGAACCGGACTGAAACGGCTCTGAGATGCCCGAGAGAACTGAAATGAACCGGCTCTGAGATGCCCGAGAGAACTGAACTGAACCGGCTCTGAGATGCCCGAGAGAACTGAACTGAACCGGACTATGGCTGTATGAGGCCTGAATAATCATACAGTGTAAGAAAAGTGTCTGAAGTGTCACTGACAGTGTTGCCAAGTCCGTGTTTTTGTCCGTGTCCGCGTGTTGAAGTGACCCCAATAACATGATATTTAGCCCCTGCCAAAAAACGTGAATTTTACCCCCCGGAACGCGACACGATTGGGCTAGTTTTGAGTAGCAATAGGGTGGGTTTTGTTGTGAAAACCTGGCAACCCTGGTCTCAGAGTCTCTTTAACTCTTCAGCCTCTGCTGCAAGCCTCCATCAGATCTGCTGAGATCATCACAGCTGAGGATGTCTGCAAACCACTCCACACCCTTAAACTAATGCACTCTTCTTTGCATTTCAGCTCTGTTCTTGCTCGTTTCCTAGTCTAGTGCTGTAATAAACCTGTGATTGTTCGCAGTGAATGTTGCTGACTCTGTGGTGACTGTTCCTCTATAGTAAGGAAACAATGGCAGTGGAGGGAGAGGAATATCAGACTCACCCTGCACCAGATATGAGAGCACTGTGATCATTCCTACTTGGACAGAGTGCTAATACTTTATAACGACTAACTGCACCAGAGACATCTGCTGTTTGTACTGGTGGCTTTATCAAAAAGTATACTTACATTTTTGGATGGCCAAAATCCATTCAGCTTGAACTGACATTTCCCGCTCTGATCTATTTTTACAGAAGATCCCCCTCTGACTGATAGTCAATCACATTGTTGAATTTATTTTAAAATCAAATTTAGGTTTTTTTTTCAGAAATGAAAGAATGATAGAGAGATTGAAGTGACGTTGTGTTATAAATGGAATCCAAATGTTATCTTTCTGGAGCTGAAAAAAAGGATGTTTTGAATGCTATGTAGGGTATCAGACCGAATCAGACAATTTAAGATTTGATAAAGAACAGTTGAAACATGAGGAGCCGAATTCCACAGAGAGGCCCAAGACACAGGATGTTCGTAAATCAGATCCTGGTCCCACAAGCCAGTCTGAAGCAAGCCTAACCAACCAACTTTCACAGAACAGCTTTCAAAATTAACACAGAGAACACACTGATCATAACATCTCAGGAAGGAGATTGTCAATTTTGGGGCAAGTAAGCAAGATTAATGGTCAAAGAAATGCACAGCATGACCATCATGTAAACCAGTGATAGTGATCACGAGCTCTTTGGATTGGCTTCCCCCACCTCGGAGACAAAGAACAGACTGAGATTCCTTACAGACCTCTTAACCTCTGGTCTTCATGTCCACATACATTCACAGAATGGCACAGAAACTGCCTTTCCATGCACCTAAATGACACTAAAAGGACTTGTGAGCAACTAATAATTTCTAAGCATAACTCCATATTATGTATGTAACTCACGTGTGTGACTATCAGGTCTTAATCATTTATTGTGTATGTATTTTGAATTGAATTTGAATTGAGTGTACTATTGAATAGTTTATAGGATCATATTCATGTTTAGTATGTGTGTGTTTGAATCTTCTTGCGTGAAACATTTCTTCCAATCAATTCTTTGTCAAATGTATCATATTCTTGTTATAGAAATCATGTCCAAAATTATACTCTGCAAGAGCGGGAAAAACTCGGACCATGTGACTGATAAGATAACATTTGATTTATGAATTGGGAGGAGAAATATACAACATCCCCAGCAAAGACAGCATCTAATTGGTCAAAACACCATTTGGGATGTGGCCAAAAGCCCAGTTTAAATACTCAGGACACCATCAAAATCTCTCTATCCCCTGTTTTCCCTTTTCCCTGCTTTTTAGTTTTGCCTGCTTTTTAGTCATGTGCTTTCAAGTCATCACTTTTAGCCATGCAGCTTTTTAGTCATAGCTTTGAGCTATGCTTTTTAATCATGCTTCTTTAGCTTTTTGAGCATGCTCTGGCTTACACGCCAGCTCCTCCAAAACCATGAGGAGAAACGCCACCTAGTCTCGTCAAACTTTACTTCTATTTCTTTACTTTAGTTTCTTTTATTTTCCGTTGAGAGTTTCGTGTTCCGAGTTAAGTTTTGCCTAACGCCGCGTCTCCGAAAGAGTGCCGTCTAAAACTTCAACTTCAACCACAACTCTGCGTCGTCAGCCAACGCCCAACCACTGGCTTCCCAAGACTGAACTTCCAGCCAATCAGCAACCACGGGAAACCCCTTTTGGCAACCAGACAAGGAAGGGAACCCCACACACAACGCAAGTACCTCCAGATTCTAGCTGAACTGGTGCACTTAATATCATTTTAACCTCATTGAGGAACTCAATGCGAGGGTTAATTAAGTGACATATTTGCAATGCCTCTGGGCAGTTATTTATAGAAAAACTGCTGGCCCAGCTCACAAATCAGCAACAACATTTGTCATGAAGTGCCATAAATTGGTTTCTTATGCTCAAATAGTGTTTAAAAAATGTATATTTCAGGTTGGTAAAGCCGAGTGCACATTTGCATTCCCTAACTTGTGATTGATTGACTGTTTCTATGGGAAGAGGAGCGGTGATCTGATGACTTTACCAATTGGTGATTGGCTCTTTGGTTTAAAAGGTGGGAATTATTGCTTGACTCACATAGGAACCCTCTGAAGTATGCAATTTTAAATCTGTCAGCTTTGCTCATGGGAACCAGTCGTGTGAGCTGTTAATGCCATGTGATTAATCACTCTGGAGACTATAGTCATGACAATGCTAATTAGCTAATAACAACATAAGAAAGTTCACAGTCCCAAACCCTTCACTACTGACCGTCATAAGCTGTTACATGAAAGGTAGTAGACAGGGAAAACATGAGTTATACTTTAAAAGGAATAGTCCACTTCAGTAAAATTCTGGGATCATTTACTTCATTTCCAGCGTTATCGTTGACATGATTGCAAAGATATTATTTAATATTAGCTGGATGTTGACATCACTGAATTCAATGATGAACTGTCTTTAACTGAAAAATGAGTGTTTACTATTGTCATTTTGCATTATTGACACTATTTTCCTAATTAATGCTGTTCAGTTGCTTTGTCACAATCTGTATTGTTAAAAGCGCTATATAAATAAAGGTGACTTGACTTGACTTGACTTGACTTAATTGATACATTAAGTATCAGTTACACCTTTTTACAAAGGTGTGTTTGAACTCAGAATCTGACGTATCCCTCAGGCTTAGATCGGCTGAATATACAAATGGTTCTATAAATGTCATTCCTTATGTCTCTTTCTGTAAAGAGTTAAACTTTAACCCTTTCCTATACCAACTGTATGTGTGTGTGTGTATGTGTATGTTAGACCAGTTTATGTGTGTATGTAGGATGTTAGACCAGTTTATGTGTTTATGTAGTTAATAAAACCTTACTTGTATCACACTTGACGTGTTCATTGTTTGCTCATAACCAGAGTCACTAATCATGCAGATTTACGCTACAAGCTTTGTAGAATTGTACAGTAAGAAAGTTATTTCCCTTAACCAGGAAATTAACGTTCTTAGAATTGACAAGATAGTTGACCCTGAGAGGTCAGCTAAATATCTACAGCGGATCTAAAATATGAATAGTTAATTATAACTAGTTATGGTTAATTATTCATATTTCCTGTCATGAGCTGATTCGTTACAGCAGTCATTATGGAGACCTGGCTGTGTTTGGGCAGGTGGATCGCTGGAGCATCGACTGAGACACCGGCTGCAGAGCGAACTGTGAGCAGGATCTCAAGGGTGTGTAGAATCTACTGAGCTTTACATGCATCAGTGATACTACCACACCAAGTGGGTAGAAGATTTTATATCAGTCAAGAGAACAAAACACAAAAAATTCAAATGAATTTATTACAAATGACAATATTAATCATTATATAATTATATAACACAGAGAGGTTGAGAAAAGCACAGAAACACATGGTCACTTAGCAGGATACACACATTGACCTTACGGTCTATAATATGAGGATTTATTACACATATATATATATTAATTGTAGGACATATTTATTCTGACATGTTATTTCACTGACAGAAGTTCAGCTGCAGTATTAATGTCATGAAGAGACTATAACATCTCACTGTTACTGATTTAATCATGCAGCTCAAAGCATTATGGGTAGAATCTCTCATCAGTCTATTCTGATTCATCAACACAGTTTCACTGATGATCTATAATTACCAACCCTAAACCCAGGATAGAGTGGCTGAGTGAATGTGGTCTGGACTGTGTGGATGAGACTCATTGTGTCAGAGACGCTGTAGAAGGACAGAGTTCCTGCACTGTGATCCACAAACACTCCTATTCTGCTGCTGATGGACTCTACAGAGAGATCAGTGTGTATTTTATTGTGTATGAATGAGTATCTGGATTTAGAGCAGCGCAAACTCCAGGACTGATCATTATATCCAAACCAACATTCATTACCCTTCCTGCTGATGCTCTTATATGACACTGATATATACACACCATAATCTCCACTCCACTCCAGCTCCCAGTAACAGCGTCCACACACACTCTCTCTACACAACACCTGATAATAACAATCAAATCTGTCTGGATAATCAGGATACGACTGGACTGTTTTAGTGGCAGTAATCACTCTGTTGCTCTCAGACAGACGGAGGTGTTTATTCACTGTGCGAGGTGATTCTGACAGTAAGAGTTCAGACACACCAGACAGGACTTGACGGCTCTGTATGTTCTTCCAGTACAGACGTCACACTGAACATCTCCAGCTCCAGCAGGAACCACACGTTGAAGTTTAGTCTGCTTCAGTTTCTCCAGCATTTCAGCAAACACCACGTTCTTAAATAAAGCAGGTCTT